AACTTGTTGGCAATAATATTCAAAGGTGATTGTTCTGAACCAAAGGAACCCAAAAAATTGATGAATTCATTTTTGTTTGCTTACGATGGTCAAAGACAAGGTGCAATAAAACTGCATAAAAGTGACCATAAATGTTACCTAAATCATAAAATTATCTTCTTTCACGGAATAATATTGTTTGAATTATGATTGGGTCAAGTAAATGGTTTAATAGTGAATAACAATTGTAAACTGATAAGTAGCTTTTATTTCCATGTCGTTTGGTGATAAATGACATTGAGTAAAAGGAATGAAATGAATAAGGAAAAAAGATGATGTTAATGATGGGGATCATGATGATAGTGATGAAGTGAATAAGAAAATTTTGTGAACTCGGATGAAGGATGGCGAAGAAAACAAAGCAAGAAAAAAGTGTCTAAAAAACTAGCATCTTACAAGAAAAGGAAAATCATAAGAATGAAAAAAGAAGGAATCAAGTCAAAGAATTTGATGAAGGTTGAAAACTATGGATCAAATAGTTGTACTTAATCAACATTATCGGGGAAAATGAAGCAAAAAAACAAACAACCTACAAGTTCAGGTCAACTTACCGGTTGATGAAAGGTTACTTTTGAGAGGAGAAAGAAAAATGACAAACTTGTGGACTGATTGAAGATGGATGATGCTCATGACAGTCCAACCATATCGATAATGTTGATGTGTAGTAAAGAGAGAGAGAGAGAGAGAGAGAGAGAGAGAAAGGTTGTTGAAATAAAAATGGAAGTGAAAAAAAGTCGAAAAAAGAAAGAAAATTTTTTGTTTTCATGATGATGCTGAGCAATCACAGAACCAATGCACCAATGGGACTTGATCAGTCAATAACAACAAACTTTTTAATTCATCTTCATCATCAGTACAAGATCAATATTCAACAGAAAAATCAAGTGACAGAGAAAATGATAAACAAGCCCAAAGGAATGTCACTCAAAATGGGATAACAAAAGTATACTTTGGATAAATCTTTCTTTCTTCAACAAATCAAATTCATCGATTCACGAGCATAGAATAAAGTTATCATGAAATTTAAGATAAAGCTGTACATTCAATTTTCAAAACTTTCAATCACATTTTCATCCAATTTCAAATTCAAAATTCCAATCCAACGAAATACGAAATGATTTTCAAATTTTTTGTCTCAATAATAATTCAAAATAATGTAAACGTCAACTCAAAGTTCAAGTTATTTTATTTTATCCAATTATAAACATTCAACTCTGAGTCGTCTTAGTTGGGTTAAATGTTGCAATCAACTTTACACAACAAATAAATCAGCAACTTAATTTAACCTAACCTAACCTAACCTAACTCAAACTCATGACTTCATCAGTCATAGTTTACAGCAAAGACGTTTAGTGTAAGGAGTTGAGATTGCAAAATTCAAATGTTTCTAAACTGAGTTGAAACATAATCTTCAGAAGATTTTGAACTATTCGTTATTGTTTAATCAATTATCGAAAAGTGTGCTATCTTGTGTACCTTTATTGCTACTTTGTCATCGGAATGATCAGTAAAGTTTTTTGTTTTAGAAATTCTGACTTTCTAAATGACGATGCAAAACAATCCAACCAAGTTTAGGTTTAGTCAAAGCAATTTTGTTTCGAGTGAACATCTTGATATTCACAATTTGGTCAATATTTTCATATTAAAATGAAACTTTGATTAAATCTGTCACAATCGTTTCTCTTCGCTCTTCTAATTGTCCTTTTGTCATCTTTTTTTATTGAAAATAACGAAATTTATCATAAAATATGCTCGAGCCTTGATAGAAGATATTAATTCGCTGATTCCATGATATTAATATAGAATCTCTTTTTTTCTGCTTTTCATTCTGGGCTCAATTTTTTCTTTCCTTGACTTGATCAAAGAAGAAAAAATGAATTAATAAATCAAAATAAAAATCAGAATTATCTCATTGAAAATCAATATTCGGAAAAGTTTTTTTTTTCTTTTCTTATTCTTTTCTTCTTCAAATGATAATTCTTGTCATATTATTATTAGTAGCAGCAATATTATTCTGTTGACTCAAAATCCAATAATAATAATAATATATTCTGAACAATATTCTGTTCAAGTTTACTTTTTTACCTGGCTCATGTTTGAGCTTTTGCGTTTTGACAGATTTTTTCTTCTCCTTCTTTCCAAGTCTTAATATAATTTCAACTTGCACTGAATCCTGTTCAAGTCAACATTTCATTTATACTTTTAGATTTCGATTCTCATCATCATCACCCTCATCATTATCATCATGAAGCGAAAGAGAGAGAAAAAGTTATTTCTTCTCTTATTACCTAATCGGTTCATCATTGATAAACTCTGTAACTTTCAAAGTTAAAGAAGAGTTTTGATAATGATAATGATATTTGAGATCAACAGACCGTTATAAGGTTCTTTACATTTCCAATTTCAATTTCAATTCAATGAGAGAAAAAAAAGAATGAATCATGAGAACAATTTTGTACCAAAATGAAAGAGATGAACGAGAGAGAAAATCTGATAATAATGATCATGGAACATTCCAAGTGAAATGGTTTAATTTTGTTCCAATTCGAAGGCAAAGAAAAAAAGTTCGACCAAAAAAAGAAAATAAATTTCAATCAAAAAAACTTTTCCAATCAAATCAACCTCCAGAGGAATCGTTAGCCTTCAATTTCTCGTCGCAATAATAATGCAAAATAGACCAACGACATCATAATGCGATTGCCGTTGAAACACAATCTTCGCAACTTGAAGTGGAAGAGAAAAGTTGAATTTGAAAATTTTCTCAATTTTGTTGCTCTTGTCCAACCTTTCAATTGTTGATCTTGGCCATCTTCTTGTGTTACAATCGTGATTGGGCAAAGGCACGAAACGGAAGAAAAGAAAGAGAGAAATGATGATTTGGATGAAGAAACTATGAGGTAGGTTAAGTAATGGAAGTTGGATAAATGTTGAAATGTGAATGAATACAAATGTTGAATAGTCTTGTTAAACGTTTACTTATAGAGTTTGATTACATTTCAACATTCAATCTCATCTTGTATCTCAACATAATCATCATCATTAGGAAGATCGTTAGATGAATAAAGATGTTTCCGCTTTTTTGCCGTATGTTTAATATTCAAGTGTTATATGCTTATTATAGGGTTAGTGGGTCACACCTTGTGATGGAATGGTGAAATGAATCAAATGAATTGCAAAGTGAAAAGTTGAAAAGGGTAAAAGTAAAGGGATGGGAATGAGAAGGAAAATGTTGTGAATGCAAGGACAACAATTGTTTCCATGTTAGGTGAACCAGAAACTGAAATGCAATGAAGAGAGTGAGAATTGTGATGGAGAAAAGAGGCAAAATTTGGTGATCATCCATGTAAATAAAATGTATCAAGATGATGAAAATGATGAGAATAAGAATTAGACTGATGGTTGAATGTTGAATGATAAGTCTAATTAATGGAGTCAAAGAAGAAGAATAAGATGATAATGATGAGAATGGATGAAAAATCCATTGATAAGAAATGAAGTTGAACAAAATTTCAACTTAATGGAAGACAATAAGACAAGATGATGATGATGGTGATGAAGGAGGAAAAGATGTAAAGATTTTTCTTTTTCTCTTTTTACTTTATTCGACTTCATTTTCTTCTTTTTTTTGGCCAATCTTTAGTGGAATGACCAATGAAAATATTCAAAGGTACATCATGATTAAAGGATATACAGGGATGAAGAAAATGTTCAACTTTTTTTTCTCTTCTCGGTTCTCCTCTTGCTTCTTTTTTGCAATGGTCAAAGTGATTAAAGTTTCTTGGATTTTTCTCTTTTCGCTGACCATTGTTGGAACAAAGGTTGAATCGTTTTAATGGGTAAATGGGCAGATGCTTTTGACATTTCACCTTCAATCTGGAAGACACTTCAATCTATTAAAAGTCCAATTTTTGTTTCCATATTCTTGTATCTTCTTCCTTGATAACCATTATTATTTTCATTTCATTGTAACATTTATTTTTTCAGAACTTATTGAGAATGGAGAAAATCAAAGGACAAAAAAATCTATTTTTCAATCATTAAATTTAGTATCTTTTCATTTCAACTGCAAAATAATAATTAGACTGGACCAAAATGGCTACCCAATTGACGATGTTTTAAAAAGCAACAAAAACGGAGTTTCAACCGATGTCCATGACTCGAATGAATGGTCAACTCATGAGTTTAAGTTAGGTTAGGTAAGGTTAGATTAGACAATAAGTTGTAAATCTGTTTTTGCTGTCTAATTCGCTTCAAACATTGCGACCAGCACTATGGCGAATCAGAGCGATCATTGAAAAAGCAACAAAAACGAAGTTTCAACCGATATCCAACAAAACTCGAATAATGGTCAACTCATGAGTTTGTTAGGTTAGATCAGGTTAAGTTAGATTATACAATAAATTGTAAATCATTTTTGTTCTCAAGTCAATTCAAGCAGTGCTACCAGCATTAAGGCGACTCAGAGCCTACCTGCTTGACGAAGGTTGGTAAAACAACAAAACCAGAGTTTTGTTCATGTTTTAATGTTTAATCCCTCAACTATGCTTCAAATATGAAAATAATTTTCAACAAAACTGACTAAAAGGCTTACAAAACCTGTAAAAGCAGATAACTGGAGCTTTATGAAGTCTAAACAGCAACTTGAACGGATTAGTCAAAGTTGAAGTGAGAAACTTCACTGACTAAAAGTTTAGTCAGCATCGGGTTATTTTGCATTATTGCAACTAAACAAGTTTCTTATGTGTTGATGACAAAAGGTGATAAAAACGATGAGTAAGTTGATTTGATCCCAATAAACAGTCCAATATTTGCCATTTAAAAGGGAAACTTGCTAATTCTTGTCGAAGTTTTGCCTTGACTCGCAACATTAGATAAGCTTTTTTTATTGATTTTCAGTTTATTACTTTTTCTTTTGTTAATCATGTGCTCATTAAATTTCAGTGAACAATAAATGTTCTTACCTTTAAAGTAAAAATCCGAGGTTGATTAATTCCTGATCAAGATGGAAAGTATCTGAATAACGAGAATAGAAAGAGAGAAATGATGAGTAAAAAAAGTGAGAAAATTGATGATGAGATTATGAAGATGTAAAGTGAAGAGAAGTGAGTGAATAGAGTGTTACTTTTCCTCTTGCCTCTTCATCTGCCGACGATAATAATAGATTAAGATGATGATGATGATGAAGAAGCAAAGACTTTTGGATGGATCATTGATGGATGTAATCGTTCAAATTGGTTCAAGTAAGAGAAGCTAATCAGTTGAGGTAAGTAAAGGTAAAGTCAATGAATTTTTAAATGATAAATCATAGTAAATGATTGAATTGACTCAACAAATGGCAATGACCAATTCATCAACATTAAAAACATTGGTCAAGCAAAAGCTGAAACATTGAAACTGAAAATGATAACGAAAATGAAAACAAAATCAAAAGGCGATCAACAATAAAGAAGCGCAACGAAACAAAAAAGGTAAAGCGATTAACGAAAGAATGCATTAAAGAGACGAAAATCGCATCATCAAACAAGGTAAACACATGAATGATGATTAAAAGTAAAGGTAAACCCTGGCAAAGGAAAAGAGCAAAAAAAGTCAAAACCAATTAACCTTGTTTTTCGCGAATTGACCTTAACCATCGACTTGATCGTTGGTTTATAATAATAGATTCAAAGTGTTTGACGCTAATTATCAATTCTGATTGACAGAAGCCCATCAAGGAATCCAGCAAAAATTTCCAACACTTTTCACTTTCATGAAAAGCAATAAGTCAAAGGCTTTTAAACGTTTCAAATTTTATCTCAGATTGATCTCACTATCTCTATTGACGAATCGAAAGGTAACTACAAGAAAAAAGAATGAAAATTTTCGAGAAAAGAAAAGGAAAAAAATGTTATTCCATGATAATTATCATCATTATTGGTGGTCAATTTTACCTGACTTTTACAAAAGAATCGAAGAAAAATTGAAGTCGAAAAAGTCAGTTTTGTTTGTTGAAGCTTCTAAAGGGTAAATTGATTGCACTTTACCATACATTTTGCATGTTCAGGTAAAGTGATTGAAAAGTGTTGAAAAAAATGAAAAATGAGAAAAAATGGAAAAAAATTTTTTTCCTTTCAACTTTGAATAGAGTTGTAATTGCAAATGTTATTATTGATTACATGATTAGATTTTCACAAATTGTTTCAACTGCTTCGTTCAACAGATGACTTCAACATTCATACAAAGTTTATCAACAAAACGATTACAAGTTGAATAGGAGGAAAAAAGATGAATCTTTAAAGTTGGCCTTTTTGTGCTCAAAACGCTAAATGAGTTTATTCAATTGACCGTAACTTTGAAATTTTTTGCCTTCTTTTTGCCTTCTTTTACCTTTATTGTGTTATTACAATTATTGATAATAGTCTTGAAGATGCAATGAGAAAAGTAAAGCTGAATAATGATGATAATGTGTGATAATCTGGTGAAATTGATTCAATCTGTTTATATGTAAAACTTGAATTCGTAATGGGATTGAAAGGTGTAAGTAAATTACTTTAACCACATCAACAATCAATCCAATTGTTCACTTATAACTGTTTCTCGGTTAATCACAGGTTAGTCTTTGAACAGTTAGAAAAGCTAATTGAACATTCGATGGATATTGCGTGTTCGTACAACAGTACAATCAATCGTTTAATTTATTGAACAGAGATGAAGGAGGAGAAGGAGAAGAAGAAGAGGGAAAAAAGGTTAAAGAGTTTGATTATTCTTATCATTAAATATGATGTTGATCGCAGTTTCATTGAGAGTTTTCAGTTCTTCTCTCGCTGCTTCTCTCGTGTTTAAATGCATCCAACAATATTGCAATTAATTGGTATGCGCAAGCTGTTCAATCATCCATCAAAATCAATGGCAAAATCATTTTACCAAATAACTCTTCATTAGTGCATCAAAGGGTTTCCCATATTCAATGTTTTCCTCATCATTTCTCATCCTCATCTTTGCTTCCTCTTAACCATTCTTCCTCATTTCCAAATCACTTCAAACTTTTAGCTTCTTTTTTCTCACAAATTTACCTTCCACCATCTCGAGCTGATCACTCTAGCACTTTCAATCAATAACTCATTTGAAGAGAGAGCAATCATTTTAACCAAATGAAAATTCATTCTCAATCAACTTTAACAAGATCCTTTGGATTCACTTTGACTAATAACAGAGCAACAAAAGTTTGCAAAAGTTTTTGCACATCGAATGCTTTTTAATTTATTTTTATTTATATCGACCAACTTTTCCACGAAAATTTCAATAAAACATTCGAAAGGGAAGAAAAGTTCTTAAAATTTGAGCATTTCTAGTGAAGAAAAGAGGTTAAAGTAAACTTGAACAACTCATAAAAATACAATTTGAAAAGTCAACTCTTGAAAATCAGAAATTATTATCGCTCGATTTCGATCTGAATTGAAGTTTTGATGTTTTCGAAAGATTCAAGTTTCCAAATTTTAAAATTTTTCATTCTTCCATAAGAAGACTTGTTTCGATTTTGAAAAGGCTCGCAAATCATCGGTTTGAACGTTTAAAATTTTGGAAAATTTGAGTTGGAAAAGTTGAAAATCTTTTTCATTAAACTTGACATTGTAGCCAAAATTAGTTGGAAATGTCTGTTTGTGAAAGGCAGAAACTGGACCTTACTTTAGACATGAATGGGCGAGAAAATGAAATTTACTAATTTGTATGATTTCCATGGACTTCATGGTAGAAGAAAATTGATGGATTTTCTGGTCATAATCAGAGCATCATCTTTTACCCTTGCTTGATCAATTTGAATGGGTTAACGTGTGTAAAGAAAGATAATTGTGATTAGAATAGGGAAAAGAATGGAAAAATGGTGAAAAGGAAAATGAGATGAAATCGATGATGATAATGAAGAGAATGGTGAAAATGTAAAGAGAGAAAAAAAAAGTTAAATGAAGCATTTGTTTAACCGTTAAAACCTTACCTTTTAGAAGAAGATGAAGAAGATGAAAAAGAATGAGGAAGCAAAAGAAAAGGAAGAAAAACTGGGAATGAAAATTGCGTGTTTCTGTTGTTATTACCAATAATGAACGATTCTTCATATTCCTCATGGGAATCTTGCATCTTTAACCTTTTCACATTCATAATAATCATTTCCAACCCTTTTCATATTTAATCAATATTATATCTTGTAATGTTGCTCGGATGAGCAAACCTATTCCTTAATTCATCATCATCACAATTCACATCATTCTCATACCGTAACCCAAAGAAGGCAGCAGAAGAAGAAGAAGAAAAAAAGTAAAGAAAAATTCTTTGATTTTCTGGTCCCAACCTTTTCTCCTCTTCATCCCCATCATCCTGCAAAATCACTAAATTGATCATTTCTCTAATAGCAAATAACAACTAAACTGTCTGTCAGTTTCCCAACCTTTATCATCCTTTATCATTGTTAATTTACTTTTACTCAGTTAGCATCACTTACTGGTGTCTCTACACATAAATAATTGTTGATAATAATATGGATAAAACCATTTGCTCTCTTAATCAGTTTAACCCTTTTTACCTTATCCAGCCATTTACATTGTTAACCAAAATGAAAGTAAAAGTCAGAAAAGGTGAAAACTTGACCAACACTGGCGAGCCATTAAAAGACTATTTTTTGGCAAATCAAAGGCGCTAGCAACTTTTGACTATATTTTTTAATAGTTTTTGTTGCTTCAATAAATTTACCTCAAAAGTGTGATCATTTTTGGTGTGATTTGGTGAATTCACAATTGAATGGGTTAACCTTGACCAGAACAGTAAAAACAAAATCTCTTTTTTTTCGCTTATTCTTGTTCCATTTTGTTGTTTAAATTCCCTTTAAGTGTTGCCAAATTCAGATTACAATTGAATCTATTATTATTGCTGATTATATTTACTTGTTAAATTAATAATCACTTTGATTGTGGTTAAGTTGCCCAGGTATTTAAGGTTATTCTCATGTCGATAAAAAAAAAGATAATATTCATTGCAAGGTTGAATAGAAAATGTTATTTTACTATTTTCTTCTTACCTTTCATGATTCAACCTTTTCTCACTCACTGAGGAAGAGTCAAATTATGTTGATAAAGATGATGATTATGATGAGAATGATGATCATGAATGATCGTGAAATTGGTCTAAAAGCATTGGTTTTGAAGTTGAAAGTAAAAAGTAATTGATCAATTATTGAAATGCATTGGAAAAAGTTTTCAAATAAAAATATTATAACCTGATAATAGATTTAATGTTATGCCGCTTCTCTTTGGGTTATCTTCAGAATTTCAAGATTCTTCACCATTCTCATCATAACCATTCTTTTGATGAAACTTGAGAAAACGATGTTTTCCTTTTATTCACTTTTCTGTAGTAAAAGTTTGCTTCAAAATTTTCATCGTTCAACGGCTCAATGTTGTTCAATCAAGTGTATTCATGATTTGCGATTCAATGAAATTGTCAATCTTGTCAGTTTTGGAAAAAAGCATTTCTCCTTCAATTGAATCGAGCTTGGAACTTCTGAATCAATAAAACTTCTTCAACTTTTTTTTCCATTTTTGCGCCTTCTTTTCACTCCTTGCGCTGAATAATTGTTGGAATAACATTGAAACAATCTTTACTCTTTTGGATTAAAGTGATTATCATGATTAAAGCCTAAGGTTAAAGTTGATTTGTTGGAACAATTTTTTCTCTCTCTTTTGCAAGTGCTTTTTCAATTATAGTTGTTATTGTGCTGTTGAAACAATTGAGACTCACAATTATCTTACATAATGGAATAGAGAGAAAATAGGAAAACAATTTACTTGATAATTACAAGTTTTTCCTTCTTTTAATCAAGATTTATTTAGTTGCTTCTTTTACAGAAATCAAATTAAAGTGAATTATCGTTAATTATAACTTTTTTTTCTCTTCGTTTCATTTCTCATTCAATCTTTCAATGTTCAGTTAAATAGTATCAACAATGATAATTGTAATTTGACTGATTGTTTGTTAATCATTTAAAG